TACAAATGCTGCATCTATATATTATAGGGRAAAAAAATCAAGTTTCATCTGCACCCAAAAGGATTTGTTCACCAAAGAGGAAACTAAAAAGAGTTTTCACCGCCACACAGAGAACAAAACCACCAGTTAACTAGAAAACCAGGGAAGAACAGAAGATTCTGGCAGATCATAAAATTTTCCAGTCATGTTTGTTTTTGGTTAGTATAACTGCAATTGTGCTCATTTTTTTCCCTTTGCAACAACACACAAACACAAATCCAATAACAAAACTATTAATTTTTGCAGCTAGACAGTGACTACAATAAAATGCACTTCTAATACTGCTGCAAAAGCCTCAAAGGAAAGACTATTTTCACCCCACACTCCAAACAAAGCCATCGGGGCCAATATCTGAGCCATTAAATGGCGAGACAAAAGTTTTTGCAGAGACAGAAATAGATGCAGAATGAGCAGCGGCAGCATAAGAGGTCTTGCAGAGTGCTCATTAGTACTACTTGGTCAACACATGAAGTATTAAAAGTGCACCRGCTGCGCACCCCACCAATCCTCTGCAGCCGTGACGTGGCAGCTGCTTCTCTTTCAGCTAATGAGTCATCCACRGTGGTGTTCAGTGAACCCTGGGAAAATTTTCTTCGTGATATTTGAAGAAATTCATCTTTTCAATTGATGTGAGTATGGGGAGAAAGCCATTAGCATGACAGTTGAATGCTTTCCCCTCTCGCCCAGCTGAAACGCACACACACACACACACACATACACAAACACACAACGGGCTCATTTAAAAGCATGCAGCCTGGGACGCCAGCCGAAGCTTTAGTGTAACCCGCTGAAATAACCCATCAGTCAGCATCAGCAACCTTCAGACAGCCGCAGACCTTCGGGCCCGCTAATGGACACAAAATGGGCTCAATGTGCACACAGCGAGATGTAGCACAAGCATTAAAAATAATAATCCACGACTGTGAAAAACCCAATTTTAATGCAAAATGTAAGAAATTGGCTACAAAGTTGAGCAAACTGAACCAGGAGATCCCCAGTAAAATTCGATTTAGTTCCATTACTCTTATTGTTCAGGCCCTCAAACGCAGCGAACAGGGAATGCCTGTGATTATTTTAGTCTCACATTTCACACCACCCTTTTATAAGTCTCTCAATAGTCTACAGGTTGTTGAAGTCTTTTCACACATTACGAGCTCAAACATTTCTGCTTATTTTCCTTTGACTAAGGTGGTTTATGAGGTTGTTTCTTTGTAACATGTTACATTTATTTATGTAAAATACCTTTACAAAAAATAACTCAGGCCATAAAACAATAAGAAACGAAGTGCTTATCACTTCAAAGGTATGACGATAACTTACAAAGCTGCTTCACCAGCTTACTATAGCCCAATATAGTGTATTTAAGCAGATAATTTCTGTTACATATTATTTTCAAAAGCACTAGTTCTTCAAAGGGTTGTAAATTCTGTTTATTTAAGTTAAGCAATTAATGTCATATTGGCCAGAAATTCTACAAAAAATGTCGGTATAGTATATTTGCAATCTGATGCTGCCCCTATTTCTGTGAATCGTTATCAGCCAAAGAAAAACTGCATCGGTCAACCTTTATTTACAATTAATTACATGTTAGAGTCATTTCAATTCAAAAGTGTCCACCACAGCCAACTGACCCTAAAAACACACACACATGGAAATAAGTCAGCCAAATCTACTGATATTGATCTAAAATCTGGTGCAGTGGTAAATTAAACTGATCCCCATCACATTTTGTAAGGTCAACTCTGTTAAARTATCTCACGAACCACAGGATGGATGTTAAGGAAACTTTCAAGAAATAATCATTAGCTGATTAGCTTTTGAAATCACTTAAAATCAATATGGCCTCTACAGCTAAGCAACCACAGCTGGCTCAGAAATGGCTATAACCTGGTAAAATTTGACAATATTGACATAAAATTAGTTGAGTTAATAGCGGAGTCATCATACTCTGAGCTTGAAATCCTGTGATATTTTATTGATTTGTGTGTACTCCAGTGCTTTATTACCAAACTGTACTTTTTATTGCTCTGACTTAGCATTGTTTCTAGTGTTTTTATGCTGTGTTCAGACCGAACGCGTTTTGAGAAATCGCGTCCAATGCCTCAAGCCGGATGTTCGTGCACTTACAGGTCAAACGCTTGTCAAAATTGCTCGAGACATCAGGAAGAGCCTATTGGTTGTTTTCCTCTGCCGGTCTTTGTACAATGGCGGATGGAATTGTGAGAGTAGCTTGGCTTTATTTATGGAGAACAAGAACACATTGCCAACTCCTGGAGTGGTGAAACTCACCAACTCCTCCAAATTATCTGGTSAATTAATTAATTCTATAGTGAGTGCAATGTGCTCTTGCTCTCTGTAATAAAGCAGGAACAAGCATCCAACTTGAGGCGTTGGATGTGTTTTTGACACTCAAAACACATTTGGTCTGAACGCAGCATTAGTTGCCCATGTGCCACTACGTCCTATAGTGGAGTCTTTCTGATTGGTTGACGCTCCACAAAAAGCTGCATCAAACGCTCAAAACACGCAGCACTATTAAGCGCTAGACACGCCCCAGCACTTCCTGATGCTCGTCCACCATAAGGCTCAGTTATAGTCGCACTTTGGTACCCGCACATGGCACGCGTGCACCCTCGACAGCGTTGAGGTGTTTATAMTTGGCTCTTACGTCGTTGTRGATTTCTCCAGAAGGACACGTCAAAGTACACTTTATAACTTGTGAAATGTTGTAAATAGGAGGGCAAAAGCTTTGACAGACAAACAAGCCGTTTGAATGGTGCGCAGCACGCACAGCCTTTGCGGAGTTACAAAATTTCGGAGGTGCAAGACCACGCGCCGGGACACCGTACAGGCCTGTCATAATAAACAAAAAAATCAATTAATCATATGATAAATTAAATTGAGGAAGATAAATTAAAATAAACACAATCATTTTCAAAAAGAAAAAAATTGTATAGGTCTYCTGGACGGGTTCTTCTCTAATGAAACGTTTCGTCTCTCCTCCAAGAGACTTCTTCAGTCTGAGAGTTTCAGGCAAAATTCAGGCTTTTAAGCACTGCCTCCATGTGACTGATACTCACATCACATRGCTACCGTTGACACCTAATTAACACCTATTGTTAACAGGGGGTGGAGTGATACTGGCAATATCAGCACTGTAGGAGGGGGACAACTGAAAACGGAGGCCTCCACCTCTGTTTAATGATGGACGGTCTTTCTTCAAAAAAATGGCTTCTTTTACTCCTCTCTCAGAAGAGAAGAAGATTAATTGTGGTATTTAGCCAATAACGATTAATTTGACGATTAATGCCCTGAGTCCCTAGACACCCTTATTTCGTAGTAACATGACCAATTTAGTGGGAAAGATTTGCTTTTTGTAAAAAAAAATTGTTCCAAATTGTGTGAAAATTACAGATTTCAGGCTATACATCATRTTTTAAATTGTGTAGATAGATAAATAAATTACAGAACTTTATTTTAATGTTCGTCATATTTGAAGCGGAGAGGAACACTGAGCAGACTGACCGGAGTAATCCCCARTCAGTCTGCCTGGTGGCATTAATCGTATTAATTGTCAAGTGCCAAAAATTAATCGATTAATGTTTTTCTGACGGTTAATTGCACACGATACGATTATGCCCAATAGGGCTGCCACAAACGATTATTTTAATAATCGGTTAATCACAGATTATTTATTCGATTAGTCGACTAATCGAATCATACGTTAATTGAATATAAAACACAGAGCTTATCGTGTCAGAATGCAGCTGCTATTGTATAACCATTGTTAGATTTTAGCTATATGCTAACTAAAAATAATTGCTGTTGAAGGTAAGTTCTGCCTTGCAGATATTGCACAGGTTTCTCTTTCATTTTCTTAAAATGATCCCACACTTTGAGCTCTGTTGTCAGGTAGCCATGATACCAGAGCCTGTCTGTATAATGTCTTGTGACGTCCACGGCCTACCCCAGTTACCACTACTGTGCATGTGTGTCAAGGACAGAAAGGCAGATGTGGCAGTGGAAGGTGTCAAAGCAGTTTGGAGAGAAAAACAAAGTAAAGAACAACAAAAAAAAAGAGAAAACGATTAATCGATTATTAAATTAGTCATCGATTATTTTAGTAATCGATTAGTCGTCGATTAATCGTGGCAGCCCTAATGCCCAACCCTGCTCCTTTAACACTTTTCAAATAAACTTGACAGAAATTGAATCTCATCAAAAGTTAAAGGCATTAAAATACTAAAAGCCTGACAATAAAGTTGTGTATCAAAGCTTTGTTTATATTTTCCTCTTATTCTCCTGATTTACTATGTAATGACCCATGAGATATGCTTGTATATAAAACTGAACAGCACAAAAAGATAAACCTCTTGATGCCAAAAKGTTGAAGACACAGCTGCTGTCATATAAAAATAACATATCACCTGATTAGAATCGTCTCTTTTTCCATTCAGGGRCATTAAAGCTTTTTGGTGATTTGTTTTGGTACAAGTGAATACACTTAGCTGTGCTCGCTTGCATCACAATGGTACATAATGGTGTTTCCCATCAGGAGACAGTGGAAGCTAACCGGGACAGCCCTGCGTGGTTTCGGCCCAAGTTTCACAACATTTGAGGAAGTGGTATTAAATAACAAACCGCAACAAATACTCCCGGTGCGTACGACAAAAAGTAACAGTTTAGTGACAAAGCGWAGCTAAACTTT